AAACAGGGGTGGGTGGTTTCGAAGACAAAGTGTAATTCAGCAGCAGGGAATGCTGTTTTTACTGCCGTATTCGTTAGGCTGATGTTGTCCCCCAAGGAACTGAATTTGTAAGAATAAGACCTCCTATTTTAGGAACTGTTGGTGCATTTTCGCTACATTGGCATCAATCTGTAGTCGAACTTGAAAAAACAAATCAAATACACCCCCCTACAAACTACCTGCTGAAAATTAATCAATAATTGTCAGTTTGAGAGATGTGTGTATAGAGCGGTATGCTTTCTTCACTCCTTTAAGAATGGAGAGCGTATAGGGTCTCGAACTTTAAGCTTTGTAATTGTCGCAGAACACTTGTGTTTTCAAAATAAAAGGTGAAGTTGCTGACTTCACGTCCAACCTTTCCTCTTTTTGACAGCTTACTGTCGATCACATGTCTGTCTGTTTTCAACGGAGAACTACTTTGCAACGATGTGCAGCAGCTCAAGTCGCCCGCCACATTCCACTCCTTGTAGCACACAAACCAAGAGAAGAAAGTAAAAAGAAATGCAAAATAGAGACAGTAAACAGGGATATGAGACAAAAGGAATAGTAATATCGAAGAACAATATAGTTTTATTGGGTATTATAAGTCACAAGGAGTGGATGCATCTGCACCAGCCAGCCATTGAGAACGATTTTGAGCCATATCATCAACTGTCTCCAACCTTCATTGGATTTTACCGTCCCGAGGACCCCAACCAGTCAGAAAGTCTACACCTTCCTACATAGCTAGCTCGAACTAACTGTTGTGGATTTCATTGACTGATGAAGCCATGTTTTGGTTCAACCATCACTGGCTAGCTCTTTTTCAACCTGACCCTATGTCCGTCGAGGAAGGCGATGACTAGGCATATGTAACACGTGATATTAGATGGTTGGAGAGAATCGGCCACACACCTAGGTTTCGTGCTAGTTGGCACTCACCAATCAGCAAGACACGCGTATCTGCAACCTTGAAGGAACTCATGTCCCTTCTGAGATTCGAACTCGCGTTACCCAGTGCTGCAGTTAGAGACCTTACCACTGAGATATTCGGGCTCGCGATCGACCTCCTGCAGGACCGTACTGGGTATTTTGATTGGACACTAGTAACTACTGTTATGTGTCTAGTCCTTTCTAAGGTGTAGACTGAATTCTATCAGTCAGGTTTGCAATGTGGCCACCATTCTAGGTAGTTCACCATCACAAATCCTACAGGAGGTCAATCGCGAGCCCAAACAGCTCAGTGGTAAGGTCTCTGACTGCAGCACTGAGTGACGCGAGTTCGAATCTGAGAAGGGACATGAGTTTCTTCAGTCTGCACCAAAGAAAGGACTGGATGCATAACACTACTTACTAGTGTCCAATCAAAGCATGTAACATGTGTCCTAACTATCTCAGTCGATGCAGCTTCACAGCCTCATCGATTGATTTCCCTTCCCTCCTTACCTAGCACTCAACCGATGCCTCACCTCAATATTGCTCACCCTATTATACCATATCACACAGGAGATAGATGTCTGTCACATCAAAGCGTGGTTTAGAAATGTATCCTCCGGGAATCGAATCCCAACTACATGCATGGCTGATGAGCATTCTGTGCTTAGAAGATAAAAACCACTACACATACACGCACGCACGCAAACATGTAGAGTAGTAAAAATTCTCAAAATGGTAAATACACAAGAGTGACTGAAAAAGCCTCTTGTCACACGTACATAAATCGATTTAATCTTAACGACCATTGAAAAAATTCAGGTTAACACACTACTCCATGTAAAATATTATTATGATTAAGTGTGAATATAGTGAAAAGTACATAAATAAATAGAGTAGCAATGGAAACAATACACATTATTATTATGATCTATGGATTATTGATTATTTGTTTAACATTGTATTCTGTGTGAAATTTCAAAAATAAACAAAGCCTGATGATGCATGCACAAAAAACAAATTTGTTGAGAATTACTATTATATCATTTATAGGTACAACGTTTTCTTTCTTTCTTTTCCTTTTCTCTCTTTTTTCTGTTATGTGCTGCTTTATTTCTTTCTTCCTTACAAAAACTCTATTTAAAACATTCTTCTTCGTTCTTTCACACTCTGTATATCTCGACCATTTTTGTTACCGCTTACGCCAGTAAATATGCTAGTATCTACTTTCCTAAACACCTTCAAACATTCTGTTCAATTTTGGCTTTGCTACCGACATGCTAATATGTTGTTGTCATAATGAACTGAGACTACCCATAATCTATGTAGAATTCTATTTATTGATAATGTACTAACTGGATGCAATACTGTAGTGAAATGCTGAGAATTCCATCCTGTATCACAAGTACTGTTTTGGAATAAAGCAAATTATTATTATTATTATTATTGACTGACTGCTTTCAACGTAGAAATATATGTGTAAAACTTGGGCACTGTGGTAGTAAGTAAATCCATATTAGTTTGTTTATTAGATATATCACACAGCCGGTGAAACAGTATTAGTATTTACTGGATGACAAAGTTTCGAACACAATCTATTGCTGTTCATAATCATATCAATTGTAATCACAAGACTTTGAAATTTGAGTTTTATGGTTTTCTTTGTTCTTTCCTATTTGTCGTCGTAGGGGTAGTAGAATTTTCCAGATGTCCGACTGGACGGGTGATGAATCATTCCTATTACATGCATTTACAGTTGATTCGATAAACAAAGCTTCTGTTATCAATCTCTCCCTACATGCAGTTACACACAACCATACAATAGGATGGATGGGATAAGATGACAGTTTTAAAGTCTAATGTAACAGCAGGGTGGAGGGAGAGATTGACAACGGAGTCTTTGTTTATCGAATCAACTGCAAACACGTGTGATAGGAATGATTCAACACCTGTCCCTTTGGATATCTGGAAAATTCTGCTACCCCTACGACGACAAATAGGAGAGCACAAAGAAAACTATAGAACTCAAGTTTCAAAGTTGTGTGATTACAATTGGTATGATTATGAACAGTAAATTTTGTTCAAAAGTGTGTCATCCAGCAAATAATACTGTTTCAACGTAGAACTTTGCACAAATGTGCAGCAATTCCAGTTGCTACACTCCCTCCATATATAGCACAAAAACCATCAGAAGAGAGTAAAGGGAGATTCATCAAAAGAGAATAGTAAATATGGAAGAACAATAGAATCTTCTTGGATATAACAAATCATAGAGAATGAATGCATCTGCACCAGCCCCATCACCGAGAACGACGATTTTGAGTCATATGACACACCAGTTACGATATGTGACTCCAGCATCCATTGATTTTTACCATCCCGAGACACTCAATCAGAATATCAGTTTACACCTCCCTACGTGCCTGCCTGGTTTAAACTAACTGTTGCGGATTTCATTGATTGATGAGGCCATGTTTTCGTCTGACCACGACTGGTTATTTTCCAACCTGATCCATTCTATGTCAGGCTGGGCATGAGGCTAGTAACCCCATCCTGTAGAAATAATCACCACTGTTACAGAAACTTCAAGCCTCTAAGCTTGAAGGTGCCCTATGTTCCACTGGGAACGTATAGGAATTTTTAATAAATTGTTCTTTTGAGTCTATTTCTCTTTTTTAATCTTCCTTTATGTGTTACAGCAAGTAAAGGTAAGTCCAACTGCCGAACGTCTGTGACAAGTCCTGCGCTGAAACGAGTCAGTCTAACAACTACAAGTGAAACCTGTGAAAAAAGGCATAACGACAACTGATCGGAATATTCATTAAATTTTATAACTGGATCATTTTGGACCGAAAACGTTGACGTCCTAGCTTCAAGTTTCAGTGAGAACACCACCACTCTCCCCTCCAACTGGGTAAAATGCAGATACATCCATCTGACGAGTCTCAGATGGGAAGAAATGCGCACCCTAGCTTTCACCGCTATTCACCCATCCAATAACAGTAGAGCAATAATCCTCAGACAAAGTAATCGTACCAATGCGTCAGTAGAAAACAAGAGACTCGGCTAAAGAATGTTTATTTGCAATTTGGTATCTCTAATATAGCGGAATTAATTTACACCTTATCTACGACACACCATTTGCACAGATCTTCCGTGTTGTGCCTGCTACTTCTGGCCTTCCTTCATATTGTGTGTCTTTCTTGGTGTTCCCTTAATAGCTCCCATGTACCTCCACAACGCTGTACCATAATTTGCTTTCTCTGACATTAAATCTATCACCTTGGATACAGGATTTTCATCATGAGCTGACATTAGTTAGAGAACCATTGGAAAACCTGGGAGTACTTGACAGCTGTTTCGTCCTAGTTTGGGACTCTTCATCAGTACGCACCCACCGGGATTCGAAACCAGGACATTCTGTTTTACAAGGTAGGTAGTTACCTGGGGTTCTAGTGAGAAGTCGTGACCAGTAGGGTGCAGCAGGTCGGGCGTGAGGACAAATACTCGCTGAAGACATTGGCTAGGGGTCGTGCTATGTCGTGAATTGGCAGAAGTTAGAATTCATGGGCCATCGGATCGGGTCCCAGCGGCTCAATGGTCTACGAGCTCGCCTTGTAAGCCAAAAGGTCCTGGGTTCGAATCCCGGTGGGTGCGTACTGATGAAGGGTCCCAAACTAGGACGAAACAACTGTCCAGTACTCCCTGGGTGGTTTTCCAATGGTTCTCTAACTAATGTCAGCTCATGATGAAAATCCTGTAACCAATCAAATCCCTACAAACCAACACTTGACTATCTCCTTGGAATTTGATGTTTTTTGCCGGTCGATGAACATTTCTTTATACATATACATATGTACTACTGATAAATCTTATCAGTAGCACACGTCACACCAACAGCCAACACGTTAACAAGCAACAACAAAAAATCAATCAAATGAGAAAAATAACAACAAAAAACTGAAATGAAACACACACGGAGAGAGAGAAAGAATAAAATTCAGTCAGAATATCTTTTTTTTTCAAAACACACACACGCTTACACTCACCTGGTTTAAATCCAGAATTCATAATACGATCTAAATAGGCAGCTGCTTCTATACACAATGTGATGCCTTCTTGTGTATTTAAATCCCCTTCAATTAATACACGCAGGTATCTTGGATCAACATTTAAACTATCGATTAATTCTTCTAAAACTTTCAATAGATTTACACGATTATCAACAGTCGTTTGAATTAATTGATCATGATCCCGTAGAGTGGCCATAGCATCTTCAACTTCCTGAAAATAGAAAAGAAAAGATCTATAAGAAAGAAGGTTGAGGTGACTGACTGTCTGTCTTTATGTTTTCAACATGGAACTACTTTGCATCGATGGGCAGCAGTTCAAGTCGCCAAACTCCACTCCTTGTAGAACACAGAGCAAGATAAGAAAGTCAGAAGGAATGAAAAATTGAGACAGTAGACAGGGATATGAGGCAAAGATGAATAGTAATAACGAAGAACAATGTAGTCTTACAGGAAATTATAACTTATAGGGAGTGGATACATATGTGCCAGCCACTGAGAACGATTTCGAGCGATACATCCAACCTTCATTGTATCTTAGCGTACTGACGACCCCAGCAAGAAAGTCTACAACCCCCTACGTGGCTGGCTTAAACTAACCGTTGTAGATAGTGAGCATAAGGTTAATGTTAATACAGCATTTAAAATTATTTATCGCATTCCGACTAATCTTAATTTTGCTTTACGAGTTCGTCTTCTACATACAGCTAAGTGAAACCATAGGAATCTGCCTGAATAAACCAAACCTGTGTGTTCAGAAGAAATTTGTACAGCCACTTTCCTCCTTACCTTGACCATCGTCACATGAATGTATAAACCGGACTACTTCGTCACCCTCCCCCTATACCTTCAAAAATTATAATTGCCCAAATTATTTTATTCTTATGACCACTTCATCCTTAGTCGGTCGGTCGGTTTTCGACATATACCTTTGCACATATGTGCTGCAGTTCAAGTTGCCACACTCCATGTAGCACACAAAGTAAGAGAAGAAAGTAGGAGAAATGCATAATATCGTCAGTAAACAGAGGTGTGAGACAAAGGAGTAGTAATAACGAAGAATAAAACAGTTTCATTGGAAATCATAAGTCACAAGGAGTGGATGCATCTGCGCCAGCCAGCCATTGAGAACGACTTTGAGCCTTGTCACCAATTGTTTCCAACCATTGGTTTTTACCGTCCCGAGGACCCTAACCAGGAAGTCTACATCTTCCTACGTGGCTTAGACTAACTGTTGTGGATTTCATTGACTGGTGCCATGTTTTCGTTACAAGTTATCACTGTTCAAATCTCTTACGTAATCAACCTGTGCACACGCTTATTCCTTAATTACTCCTCATTTTTCCAAAATTATGTATTATGCAATCCATGTGTTGTAACCATTTCTCACTCAGCGCTCAATTATTTTGCAACTATCCGGTCAAATCTTGATCACAGTTCATATGAATTCTACCTTTTAATTGTGTGTATTAATTTTGTTAAACACATTCAGGTCTTGTATGCAGTAGATGAACTGGTAGGTGTCACGGAGCGAGTGAACTGTTTTCTTACAGGTTCCAGAATATCTGCCAGCCATTATGCAACAGAGTGGACGAAGTTGGAGACCAACCTTGTGTACCTTTGGTAGACCATAAAGTCTTGGTATAATTATTGAACCTGTTGGCCGGATCGTTAATTGTGTAGCTTGTAGAAGTGTGTAGGCGGTTAATAACCTCCTGGCAGTCCACACCGTGGAAATTGATTTATTTTTGAAAGCCATGAGACAGAAAGAGCATTAGTTTTGGAGGACCACAGAGAGACCGGGGGACAATTTCTGAAGATCAATCATGCACAGCATGCCTGAAATGGATTTTTGAGCTGTACAAATAAGTACAAGGTGAGTTGTGATGTATAGTTCCAGGAGTCGAGCTTTCCTAACTTCGCACTCATCTCACAACGAGGAGGTAACACCACTAGTTTCCTAGTTATTCCCTAGAATTACAATTTCACCTTCAAAATAGTACCTGATTTCAGTCTAACCACAGTGAAAACTCCCATATGCGTGGGCATTACACGACCAGGAGGAACACTCCTTCCAATCATTGTAGCTCGTCGACAAAAAGAGAAAAAGCCAAGTGTAACAACTGCCTCTCTCCATCTTTCTGTGGAGATCAAAACACGAAACCAACACCTGAAGATAAATCTGATACTCAGTAAGTATCTGGCTTTAAACCGGGAGTCACCTGCTGTTCTAGTAAGAAATCATACATAACCACTTCTATGTGCACATCGGTCGTTCGACGCACATCCTGTCCAAGAGGATTCAAGAACACTATCCAGAATGGTTGCGATTAGGCAATAGTGATGTAATAAGGAGTGCGATAATTGAACACCTGGTTAACACTGATCATTCCATCTCAACAACAAACGCCTCCTGCTTCAAAGAAATTTACAGAGTCAAGAATAAACCCATCAAAGGCGATACGGTTTCGTCTTCCCCGTATCGCTGAAGCTCTGCCCATTCACACAGAAAAATCGGAGCTGTGCATACAAAAGAGAATTACTCAACCACTTTTACTGTCATGGTAACAACTTTGTTGATTTTTGATGACCTAATTTCGTTTGTTTGCCTGTTTCTTTAGTTGCTTATAATTCTTGTATATTCATTTAGAACTCATACATAATTTCGTATTCTCTACTTTGTTCCTATGTGTATCCTGAGTAAAACTCAATCATCAAACTATTCATATTATTACATAACTTCTTTTTAACAACTGTTTTGGAAAACTCATCACCTTTATTACTACCCTAATTTCACTAACACTTAATTTTCTTGACTGATTTTTTATTACGTAACTCCAATTACCAATCTTCACCTGTTTAGTTAAAATAACCATAACCAATTGTAATTTTGTTTAACAATCTTAATGTACACATAAATACAAAATAACACATATTTGCGAGTAGACAGCTATGAAAATGAATTCGCCGCCGAAAAGAGACTCTTCGCTGAACTACGTGTTTTGTTTTCATTAATGCCTGGATGGGGATTATCCATGAATATTCATGAAGAATTCCCATTCGAACATTAATAGACAGAAGACCAGTAGTTCAGCGAAGAGTCTCTTTTCGGCGGCGAATTCATTTTCATAGCCTTACAATAGCTAATATTTATGGCTGTTTTGTATTTGTGTGTGTACATTAAATTTGTCAAACGAAAATACAATTAGTAAGTTCAGATGAATTGGATGTTGATATAAGAGGGTAGTAACAAAAGTGATGAGTTGTCACAATCGATTGTTAAAGAAGAGTTACGTAATAACGTGAGTAGTTTCAAGAAAGAGTTGCGCCCAGGGTGTACTTGAAAACAAAATAGTATACGGAATTACGTAAGAGCTTTAAGTAGTCAAAGCAATAAGCATACAAACAAAAGTTAAGTCAAATCAACAGAGTTGTTACCATGAGAGTAGAAGTGGTTGAATAATTTCCTTTTGTATGCATAGTTCTAGTTCTTCTAACTGAGTGGCTAGGGCTTCTGCAATGCAAAGAAGACGGAAACGTATTGTCTTTGGAAGGTTGTTCTTCACTTTGTAGATTACTTTGAAGAAGGCGTTTGTTGAGATGAAATGACCAGTGGTGACGAGATGTCCGATTATTGCACTCCTTATACGCCCACCACTTCCTTTCTGCAGCCACGCTAGGTAGTGTTCTTTAACCCTTTTTGACAAGATGCGCGTTGAACGACAGATGTACCTGGCTTCACATCAACAGGTGAACTGATATATACACATAGAAGTGGCAGGTGCGAGATCTTATCCTTTGGGCTTCTGGAGATCAGCGAGCGACTAGAGAACACTACTCTCAATGTTGCGGGAAGAAAGTTCTTCTTAAAGAAGTGGAAATTCTCCTCCTAAGGACATCACTGAGTAGGTCACCTTTGAAGTGGAGGTTGGCACAGATGGCGTCTATTGCTTTTGGATTTTTTGTTTGATGTTTTTGTCTACGAATCCTGATGGATAACCGTTTTGTATGAAGATTTCTTTCAGGGAGTATAGTTCTTTTTGCTCCAGGGTATCAGAGCTGCAGATGCGTCGGACGCGAGTGTCAAGAGATCTCATTAGGTTTCTTTTCCCACTTATTGGTACCCAGCTGTAGAAGCTTGTCAGTTGGCCGTTTCATGGAAAGAGACTCTTCGCTGAACTATTGGTCTTCTGTCTATTAATTATCCATGAATAACCAAAAGAGTCCATCAAGTCGAGGAAGAGGACAATTACTCGCCATTAACATTGGCTTGTAGAAGACGTTGGAATTCAAGCACTAGTCATTGGATCGGGCGTCCTAGGAGCTGAATAGTCGACAAGCTCACCGTGTAACCGGGAAGGTGGTTGAGTTCGAACCCCAGAGGGTGTAGGTACTGTTAAACGATCCCAAACAAAGGAGATACAAATGTCTAGTACTCTTCACTCTACGGAATGATCCTCTCTAACTGACATCAGCCTATTGATCAGACAGGCAAGCAACTCATTCAATCAATCAATCAGTCACTAAAAAAGGACAACTCACCTCTAGAAAATGATAATAATTATTTAATTGTTTCTCTAATAATTCCGCTCGTTCGATAGCACTATCCAGTGTTGTCATAAGACTTAATACTTGTGATTCAGACGCCATAATTGAATGAACATTTGTCTATAATAAATAACCAATAAGAGTAAATAGATACAATACACTACAATTTGTATTAAATAACACACATTTAAAGATGAAAATTCACTATGGTGTTTACTTTGAAAACTGAAATTATCCATTAATTATTATTATTATTGTTTCCTTTAATTCCTAGAGGAACATAGGGCTTCAACCGCACGTCTCCACTGCATTCGGTTCTCTGCTAAAGTTTTCACCTGGCTCCAAATCTGCTTACATGCTTTCATCTCCTCTTCACATGACCTCCTCCAAGTCACCCTTGCACTGACGACCAACCGGCCGTTTCCCTTTCGGGTTCTACTCGAGCAATGACTTGTCTAGTGATGTCACTCACTTGATGGTTTCCCCAGAGTATGGTCAATCCACCCCCATTTCTTCCTGCTTATTTGTTGCACAATCGGTTCCTGGTTGGTTCGCTCATTGCCAGAGATCCCCGTTGCTGATCTTTTCTCTGGCCGGCCATCTGATCTTGAGTATTGAGCGAAGAAAGCTGTTAATGAGGGTTTGTAGTTTGTTTGATGTGCATTTTATGACGCGCAGTGCAAGTCTCTGATCCGTATAGTAGCACTGACTTCACATTGGAGTTGAAAATTTCGATCTTATTTTTGATGCTGAGTGCTGTTGACCTCCACACAGACTTGAGAGTAATGAAGGCTTGTCTTGCTTTCCCGATTCTTGCTTTGATATCCTCGTCAGTTCCGCCTGTAGTTGAAACGATGCTTTCCAGGTAGGTAAAGGAGGTTGGTTCTTTCATGTTCCTTCCGCCAGCCTTTGACTTGATGTCTAAACCAGTGCACTAGTGTTCCCATGGTTGATCATGACCAAAAACAGGTTCAAAAAGCATTCGATCCTTTCAGATTATGTAGCTGACGCACTATTGATATAAGTATGAAACTTGGGCACTGTGGTGGTAGAGTATAACTCCATTATGCAAAAGATTTTATTTTGATAAATCACACAGTGTTTGTTGTACAGGAATATTAACTAATGACCAAGTTTCGAGCACAAACTATTGCCACTCATAATCACATCAAGTCACTCACTCACACAACTCTCTTGCTTCATTTGTAAACATAAGTGAAATTGATGATTAGACATTTGAATAAGAATCAATATAAGATAATGTACATTGGGAAATAATAATATGAGTGTTGTTGATCAACTACAATCAGATGGGAAATAGGACGAGTGTTTTTGTAGTCATAATGGGTAACTTGTTAGAATGTTGTGATGTATGTGAATTGAATTGAAATAGAATTTGAAGATTATTTATGATTCTCCTCTGATTTCACTGACTGACTGGTGATAATAATATTTTCCATGCACATCTCTGGTATTTGCATTGAGTAATTTCTGTTGCATGTGTTGGGTATGTAGACTGGATGAACCAAGCAGGATTCAGTGGTCAATCTCTCTCTCCTCACCTACCTAGATTACTTCTTAGAATTTTAACCCTCTCCTTCCCACTGTATTGTGTGGTTGTGTTAATGCACGCAGTGCAATGCAGTGCTGAGCTTGTTCCTACATTACTTATCTTCTCGGGGTCAACCATTCCTACCCTAGATAAATTCTTATGTTTCGACAATCTGACTACCCCCGACCTACTAGTTTGACCTATGTAGTTAGTTCGCCTGACTCACAGTCATTGCAAGGTATTTTGTAAATTATATTATTTTGTTTAATTGGGTCCACTGGGTCTTTTAGCCTACAGAGATTGTCTTTGAGTGAGTTTGAAGTTGTGTGAATGCCATCCTAATTCCTGCTTTATTAAGAATCCTACGTAGGGTCTCAGATGTCACCTCCTTATATGGTAGAACCACTGTAGATGCCTTATAGACTTTCTTATTTATATTATCATTATTAGTTTCACCATTATTTTTATTTTTATTTTAACCTTTTTTAGTCTTCCTAATAAATTTTATAGGATAGTTATTCAACACCAACGCTTCTTCTATCTGTTTTATTTCGTCGTTTAGGTCTTTTTTGTTCTACTTAGTGCTGTGGCTCGGTTTGTTAGACACCTAACTAAGCCTGCCTTTACAGACAACGGAGGAGATGAATTTAAGTCTAAATATCTATTAGAATGCATTGGCTTTTTATAAATGCTGGTGTGCAGTTTGCCTTCTTCTATTCGTTTTATTTTACAATCTAACAGCACAGCTAATTCTCCTTGTTCATTTTCTGATTCAAATGTGAATTTTATTCCCTCTGCTAGTAAGTTTTATATGTGTCAAGAACTAGAAATAGGTTCTGTTTTTAACGCTGTGAAAGTGTCATCCACATATCTCCACCATATTTTTGGAATACGATTAAATGTTGTATTAAGAGCCATATTTTCCCAGCTTTCCATAAAGATATCTGCTACGATAGGGGATATTGGTGATCCATCCCATCGCTACACCATCTGTTTGTTTATATATTTTGTCTTGTAATTTAAAGACAGTAGATGTGAGACAGCATAACTGAATTCCTAAAATAATTTTCTCAATGGGCAGCTTTGTCCTATGACTAAGTTCGAGATCAGAAGTTAGTTCCCCTTCAACAGCTTCTAAGGCCGCCATATTGATTGGTATTTTAGCTGATGTACAGCCCATAGGATTAGAATCAGGTTTTTCCAGCACGCCTAGGTAGACCTAGGCTAGAAAACATCAAATGTCTAAGCTACTAAATCCGATTTTTCAGGATAGTATTGTTGACTTAGAATACGAGGATGATATTGTGCTCCCTAATCGGTGAAGACGCTGAAAAAATGCAAAGTATTCTGAATACTTTGAGGAGCAGCAATCTTCACATGTGTGGCACGCGGTTTCCTCCTGCTAAATGTACGATAATACTACAGGATTGAAATAATAATAATGACTCCTAGCTTAAAGATAGACAGGTGTGAAGTGGTACAGCGTGTGGACCACTTTCCTTATCGGGGAATCTGCATCAACCCCAACAAGCTGACTGCCCATATGGCGTTTACCAACTTACGGCATATCTGGCGTAAACGTGATATCCAGCTAGCTATGGATCAAGGGATGTGTGTAACGCGTATCATTTGACTCTGTTCCCCTTTATAGATGTTAGCGATGGTCATTTAAAGTGGAAGACTAACTGTATTTGAGCATAGGTATCTGCCTTCTATCTCCTGTGTTATGTCGTACAGTACGGTGAATGATACCGAGAAGGAGGTAAGGAGTGAAAGACAATCAATACGTTTGTGAAGCCACATCAACTGAGATGGCTAAGACATATCTTGACTGACTGGTTTCAGTATAGAACTTTGTACAGATGTACAACAGTCCGAGTTGCTAGACATTCTGCATGTACCATGCAAAGCAAGAGAAGAGAGTAAAGAGAGACTCACCAAAAGAGAGATAATAAACAGAAGTGTGAGTGATGGAAAAACAATAGTAGCATGGAAGAACAAAAGAATTTTATCAGGCATTATAAATCACAAAGAGTGAATGCATCTGCGTTAGCCATCACCGAAAACGACAATTGTGAGTCATATCATCAGTTGTCTCCAGCCTCCATTGATTTCTATCATCCCGAGAACCCCAAACAGTCTACACCCCCCAATGGTGGCTTAAACGAACTATTGTTGATTTCATTGGCTGATGAAACCATGTTTTGGTTTGGCCACCACTGGCTAACTCTTTTCCAACCTGACCCTATGCCCGGCCGATAACTGCTACCTTGCCGTGGTGGTCAGGCTTGAATGCCGCAGTGACCCAACAAGCTAAACTGGCTGGGACTCATGTCCCTGCAGGTCCTACCATGCCAGGAAGGTTGTTTGGATAGCGGTTAGACTAAAAGCAGTTACCATGGGGTACATGGGCTCCAGAATCCAATCGGACCGAATGGCGTACGAACCCATATGGGTCACCGGAAACCATGGGAACGCAGCACCTGACGCTGCTCCGCTGCCTTGCGGGTTGGACTCCAAGTCAAAGGCTCGGAGGGTGGTCCCTTAAGAAAACCACCTGCTTCGGTCTGGGCACCCGGGCAGTATCTCAGCCCTCACACAATGAATGAAATAAAGCAACAAAATATCAGTGGAACTTATCGTGCGCTCGTAACAATGCGTTCAAGCAATAATGATGTCTCAAGTAACACATCTCTTTCCAACCTTACTTTTATTTTTATACTTAGTTTCCTGTATTCTACCTTTGCTCACCTTGACTTCTTAACCTTCGACAGCCTTTCGCCTTTGTCTGGATTCCTAGCCTATCTGTGTCGTGTTGCAATTTCCTTCTTTCTTCCCTTCCTGGTGAAAGTTAACGAATACTGTTTGAACTTGTTAAACATAACTGTTTTTCTTCCAGATGAAGTTCTTTATCCGTTTTCTGCTTATATTTTTACTTTTAATCTATGTTGTTTTATTATTATTGTGTGGCGCATCTTTCTTGGTGCCATACTGTACCAAGTTTTTCTGCGTTTAAATAAATAACAATAAATAATGACCCTATGTCAGCTAACATTGCACGTCGAGGAAGGTGATGGCTAGGAATACATACGTAACACATGTCCTAACCATCTCAGTCGATGTAAATTCACAACCTCGTCAATTGTTTTCCCCTCCTTACGTAGCACTCGACCGATGCCTAACTTCAATATTGTTCACCCTAGTATACCACTTCACACGGGAGATGGAACTCAGACACCTGTGAATAAAGACAGCTAATCGTTCCATGTCCTCCACTCTCAATAGCCAGGTCTCATAGCCATAAAGGAGGACGGAGCGGATTGCTGAGCAGCACACATACCAGCCGGATATCATGTCTACTAAGCCAGAGACGGCGTAAACTGGCATATGCGAAACGAGCCTTCTGTATCTGTGATGAGATTTCTTCAGCCATCAACCCTGTGAAGTTGGCTGGTGCAACTTCCCAAATAAGTGAAATGCTCAACACGCTCTACCAATCACTTCACTCCCTAATTTTAAGCTAGGAGTCAATGTAGTCCAGTCCAGTCCTGTAGCCTCATCATCTTACATTTGACAGCAGGAGCGAATTGCATGCCAAACATTCACAGATTGCAATTCAAGGTGTTCAGAAGACTCTGCTGCATTATGTCAGCGTCTTCACCTAGAAGGCAGGACTATATCATCTGCACATTCTAAGTCAACGAGACTATTATTCCCTAGGCTGATGTCACGACTCACTCGTGCCCACCTTGATCACTATAAACCAACTTTTTACAAAACAAAACATAGACTTACACCTTCAATATGTGCTAACTGTTGTTGTAAACGTTCTGTCAATTGAGCAGCATTGAACAGCGTTGACTCATTGTCAAGTTCATCTAAAAACTGACGTATATCATCTTCTTCACGTTTAGTCAATGAACGATAACCATCTGACAGTGGTGAACCAACCTCGCCAACCTTATTTGCATCTGAAGGACGTTCACCACCACCACCACCACCATCTCCACCTCCAGCAGTACCACCACCAACTGTGGCTGATGAAGCCTCCACGTCAGGATCTAAAAATAAAGCGAAGGTTGGAATGTTTCAGTGCACAGGAGAAGTAAATAATAATAGTTATATAACAATCAATAACAATAATCAATCAACCAGTGGGTGTGTACTGATGAAGAGTCCCAAACTAGGACGAAACAGCTGTCCAGTACTCCTAGATTTTCCAGTGGTTCTCCAACTAATGTCAGCTCATGATGAAAATCCCTACAAACCAACACTTGAATATTTACTAATCAAGTTTTTAATTTCTTGTTTATATACTTCGACCTAATTGATTTTTGGCGTACGGGAGCTCCTTTAACGGATAGATGGCTGAATATATTACCACAAATAATAGTTCAAAGTCCCTCATTTTTTTATTCAAATACTGATTCGCTATCTGGTCTGTTAGCCAAAATTTGTAGACATCAATTTATGTCAATGTTTACGTCCCAAATAAGGGGTCATGAGAAAATAAACAAGAACAAAGACTTTGCGTGGGCGGATACGATTAGCAGATATACATATGGTCTGACCTTCAAAGAACTGGGCACAAAGAGATGACAGAATAACTCTCAGAGGTAAAAAACCAATCAATCAGAAGACGCTGTTTCTCTGCTAATAATAACGCTAATAATAATGTACATACAAATCTATAAATATCTTTTTCCTGGCCCTTGTCTTCTGTTGTTACATTTGGTGTCGCTGCCTATCGACAAATGGAAAGCCCTATGATGGAGACATATGGATCTTGGGGCAGGACTTCGAGGCTTTTGCTCAGTTGAGTGGCGTTCAAGATCTGTCAGCGTTGAGGCTGTTACTTGAAACACTGCCGGGAGGTCAGGTGAAAGCAGCATATGAACGTGTGAAGCGAAACAACGACGAATGCGCGCCAGGGTCAGGCAAACAGCATCCAAAGTGGGAAGGTACACATATGGTCACTTTGGGACGGGGTTACGTAGACACAATCGCAATGGTAAACAGAGAGAAACAGGTGAATGTCAGCGAGCACATAGCTGTGGCATAGCGATTAGGACGCTCGCCGACAATGCACATGGTTCGGGGTTCGAACCCCGGCCGACGCACACCTGATAAGAATCATCGGCCTACTAAATTTGGGCTACCGATATCACATGCTGAATATTCCATACTTGTATCAAAAATACTGTGTGGAGTCAAGCTACAATAAAAAAATAATAAATAAAAAAGAAAAATTTAATAGGTTACAGTTACGCTTGGATATCAATCTAACGCTCACGAGCGACTGGCCCCCTATTCAAGTAGATAGTTACCTGAGTGGGTTCTAATGATAAATCATGACCAGTGGAATACAGCAGCTCTGCTGGTCAGTGCCAGTCACGCTGTATCGTACATTGGCAGAAGTTGGAATTCATGCGCAGGCCACTGGATCGAGTCCCAGTGGTTAAATGATCTACGAGGTTACCTTTTAACCGGAAGGCGTCCTGGGGTTCGACCCCCTGTGGTGAGCGCGTACTGATCAAGAGCTCCAAGTACTCTCCGTTGTTTTTCCAATGCTTCTTTAACCGATGTCAGCTCATGATGAATTCTTTATTTTGTATTCGCGAAAATAGCCTACAAAATCACAGAACCGATACAAAAAGCTCGTGTGATACTTGGTAACTTATGTTATTTCTGGCATAAACGCGATAGCCAATTACAAATTAAAGGCTGTGTGTACTGCACAGCAACTTGATATGTCCTTCTTTATGGATGAGAGACATGGCTATTGAAAGTGGGAAATACGAATAGCCTAGCTGACTTTGAGTGGCATAATATAATGAATTATATTGAGGTTAGATATAGCATGTTAGGTAGGATGGGTAAATAAATCCATGAAGTCTTGAAGCTACCACGACTCAGATGACCAGGACACATGATGCAGCTTCTGAGGCATCTGCTTCATCGACGAGCAATATTAGCTGACGTAAGATTAGATTGGTAAATGAGTTAGCAGTTATCAAATCAAAACTTGGTACCAATCAATCAATCCATGAAGTCGCTGGCTGGTTGAGGTACTCAAGGTGCTCAAATCCAATGGCTTGAGACTATTGATGATATGGCTCAAAACTGGTCTCAGTGATGACGCAGATGCATTCACTCTTAGCATCCTCCCAAATCCATTAAATCATAATGCTACCCCATGTTACTCTGAGAAAACCATCAAGTGACAGCACAAGACAGGCCATCTCTCGAGTGGAACCCAAACAGGAAGAGGCGAGTTGGTCGTCAGTGCAAGGGTGACTTGGAGGAGGTCATATGAAGAAGAGATGATGAAAGCATGTGGGCAGACATGGAGCCAGTTGAAAACGTTGGCAGAGAACCGAACGCAATGGAAACGAGCGACTGAAGCCCTGCGTTCTTCTAGAAACTGAAGGAAACAATAATAATAATACGCCATGTTACTATTCTTCCTCCTGTACATTTCTCCTTATTATAGCTCTTTTGAATGTCTTTTCTCTACGTCTATGTGCCACATAGAGTGTAGCAACTTGAATTGCTGAACTTCGGTGCATAGCTCCATTACCAAGTCTTTTACCTTCTCCCCTTAAAATATGGTCATACCTGTTGACCTGCAAACGGCATTCAACTCCGTCGACCGAGAGGTACTATGGTGATGTTTGGCTGTGAAGGGAATGCAGAGGTAATACATAGCACTGATCAAAACACTCACTCTACTCGAACTCATGCAGTCAGCCAGGTAAGAGCTTACGGAGAGTTATCATCTGAAGAGATGACGACCAGTGGTGTCTATCAGAGATACCCACTGTCCCCATTTCCCTTTAATTTCATCAGAGATATTGTACTGATGGATTTAACCCTAAGTGACTTCAGTGACTCAGTGATTTACTTGTTATCAGAGAATAATCTCGTTGACTTAGAATTTGCGGATGATATAATCCTCCCTACTGCTTAAAGACGCTGACTACACTACAGTCCTCTGAACACCTTGAGGAGCAGCAATCTTCGAACGTTTGACCTGCGACTCGCTCCTGTTTTCAAATGTAAGATAAAGCTACATAGGACCGTACTCCATAGACCCCTAACTGGTTTAAAGATAGGCACGCATGAAATGGTACAGCATTTTGACCACTTCCCATATTTGGGAAGTTGCATCAGTGAACCGCAGAGGGTTAATCGTTGATGAAACCTCAACACGGATACAGAAGGGTTATTTAGCATATGCCAACAACGCTATCTCTGGGATAAATGTGATATCCGATTATCGGTCGAAGGACGTGTGTGCTGCTCAGCAGTTCGCTCAGTCCTCCTTGAATGAAAGTCGAAGACATAAAAAGCCTGGCTAGCTGTCTTTCATCATAGGTTTCTGATTACTTTCTCCCGTGTGAGGTGGGATAATAGGGTGAGTGATATTGAGGTTAGGCATTGGTCGAGCGCTAGGTAAGGAGGGAAAATCAATCGATGAAGTTGTGAAGTTATATCAATTAAGGCATGCATTCCTCATCAATCAATGAAATCCATAACAGTTAGTTTAAGCCACATAGGGAGACATAGACATCCTGACTGGTTGGCTTCCTCGGTATGGTATGAACTAATGAAGCCTGGAGACAATTAGAGATATCGCTCAAAGTGATCGCTCAGGGTGGTGGCTGGTGCAGATGCATTCATTCTTTGTGATGATTGGTCATAATCAATAAAACTTTATTCTTCCTTCACATTACTATTCTTTTTACCCCACTCACACTTCTGTTCATTATCTCTCTTCATTCTCTTCTCTTGGTTTGTGTGCTGCATTTAGGAGGGAGTATGGCGACTGTAACTGCTGTGCATATATGCTCTACGCTGAAACTAGTCAGTCCGTCAGTCAAAATATGGTTTTGAATGTATTTTGACAATCGATGAATTTAAACCCCACAACATACATTATACGGGATAAAACTGTCAAGTTCAAGTTTCATCGATTTGTAATAAGGCGGAACACACACATCAGTCAGCGAAGAGATCACCTTCATTAGGCAGTCTGCCAAATGAAACCCACAAGTCTTCAAAGGTTATTCTACTAAGTTAGTAATTAAAACTCAAATCTAAGTGTATGGGAGATAACAGTGTGTAAAAACAAACAAACAGGGGAATGCATCCCACATCATTGAGAAAGTTAGAATGATTATCAATCCTTTCGAGGGAATCGGATAAGAAACAAGACAACGACAAAAAATTGAAAATGAGGCTACAAAAATTAAAAAGAAATTTTGAAAAAAATAAAATGATAAAGGAATACACATCACCATGGTTACTGTAAAACCGACATTTATATCACACAACACAAAACCACAATATTCACGCAAATAAATATATTAAGCTTAGTAAATGACTTTTTCAAAAAGAAAAAACCACCGTAACACTGCACCATATATCCGCCAATTCTGCAGTGCACACAGGGTATTCCTTGGAAAAAAAGTCGGTGAGAAATACAAACACCAACACCAGAAACAGACTTTTATATCGTGGAAAACACCCATCGGGACATTAGAGGGAAAAGAACAAGAAGTTCAGAAAAGATGTCGATCTTTTCAGCGATTTCATTCTCAAAATCAGTTGTACAATCTCATTTATATAGATTAGTTTACATGGATACAATTATTATTTATTTAATTAATTCCACATAGTAACGAAGGTGATAATAATTTTCAACTTGATATGAAAGTTTGAAGGTACGAATATAGATTACAAGGGTCTTAGAGACAAGATTGCATAGGATTAGAAAACAGTTACAACGTATGCAAAATTAATATTCGATAACTGGTGACTTTTCCTGCAGCAACTCTAAGAGTGATATTCTCTAGCTACCCACTACTTCGGAGCAACGGGAAGGACAGACTTCCGCATATGACCACTTCAGCGTGCATATATCAGTTCGCCTGCTCTTGCGGAGCTAGGTAGGTACATAGGTCGTTCTATGCGGATCTTATCAAAACGTGTTAGAGAACATCATCCAGCATGGCTGCAAAGAAGAGGAACTCGTTCAATCAGTATTGCCATAACTGAACACCTCGTCAATCAATACCTGTCACAGCATCTCTCAGAGTCATTTACAAAGTAAACAAAAATCTACCAAAGGTAGTGTGTTTCCGACTTCCTTGTACTGCGAAAGCTCTCACCATATGCATCGAAAAACCGGAGATGTGTGTTCAAAAGAAACTAGTCCAGCCTTTACAACTACCGTGAACCCAGTTCGGTATGTTCCCTTATCCTTCAGTTTTTTGTGTTTTTTCTGTGTATTTTTCTCCCTTTGTCTTCATTCAATTCATCCCATTTTTGTCAGTTGCAAGGACAGTTATCTTAAGTTTGTTCCCATGCTCCTCCTGATCACACTTGTAATCCGTTTAGAATAACTATTTTTTCAATTATATTCTTATCTTGTGTAATTTTTTGTTTCTATGCCCCTTGTAATCTATACTCACACCTCCTAACTTACATTTCTAGTTGAGAATTCTGATTTCAATTTGTTTCCATGGTTATTTTGTTCACACCTGTAATTTGTTCTATCCCTGCGCAATTTTCGTCTCTAAGCCTCTCGTAATTCATATCAAGTTGAAAATAATTATCATCTTTTATTCGCCTTTAAAATTATTTCTCCAGTTTTCAAATACTAATTTTGCATACGTTGTAACTGTTTTGTAATCCTGTGTATTCTTGCCTCTAAGACCATTGAAATCTATATTCCTACCTTCGAACTTTCATATCAAGTTGAAAATTATTATCAAGAGTTGGTTTGTAAGAATTAAATTTGGTTTCACGAGTTTCACCATGGATTGATGTCAGTTAGAGAACTACTAAAAATCATGGAGTACTTGATAACTTTTTCATCCCAGTTTGGGAAGGTCCATCCAGTCAAGTGCGACCATGTATGTCCCACCGAGGACATGGCTTGATAATTACGCTAAATAACGAATTGGTATAAGTAAGAATTGATGAATTCGCCATTAGATTGTGTCCCATTGGCTGAATGGTATACGAGCCAGCTCCGGTGTTCGAACCCCAGTGGTGGGTGCGTACAGTCGATGAATCCTAAGCACTAGGATGAAACAACTGTCCAGTACTCCTTGCCGGATTCCAATCGTTTTCTGACTGATATCAATCCATGGTGAAAATCGTAAAAAGAAAATTATTATCTCCTTCGTTACTATGTGAAATTAAATAAATAATAATAGTATCTATGTAAATGCGATTGTACAGCTGCTTTTGAGAATGAAATCGCCGAAAAGACTTTAATATACTCTACTTGATATAACTCCCCTAATAACAGACGAAGTGACACACACTCGACCATGTCACATTTTAAAACATCCTTAAACAAAGTTGGTTACCAATCAATGAAAACTGAGAAGCACTGGACAGTTGTTTCGTCCTATTTTGTAACTCTTCACCAGTGTGTACCAACCATGAGCTTCAGGTTACAAGCCAGCTGATTATCATCATTTATTCAATGATTTGGACCAGCTTGATAAAATCTACGCTGAAATTATTTCCAAATCTCAAGGAGAATACTCATAATCTAAATAATAACAAAACGTTTGCGTAAAACGAATATACTACTGATTGGCTGACATAAGTAGTTGCACACCACACCTCATATCAACCAGTAGTGATTGCTGGTTAGCTAGCCAGCCAGCCAGCCAGATCGAGGTGATCGAAACACCGGATGGTCGTTCCGCTTGTGTGGGGTCGAACTCATCAACGGGTAATAGTACCCGGTTTGACACAGCACAGAGAGCTGAATTAGTTCACACTACCAGATTTCAGGTCGACTGCTTGGCCGAACTGGTCATAGCATCAATCAAATTCAAAATTTGAAATTTGGTTACCAATTCGCACCATACACAGTCTAAGTGGTGAAATTTCAGCGTAGTTTACGAAAGAAACTACGTCCTAGAACCACCTAACGATGTCGGTCACATCGATCAGCATTTCAAATGAATGCTGTCTGTAATCTTCGTTGCAAGTTTAACCGCAACGCTAACTATATAACTTGTAACGAAGATTATGGGCAGCATTCATGTCTAATGCTGAGCGATATAATCCTTTAGTTCAAAAGCATTTGACTATGGTATCGATTCTTTACGCTTGCTCCAACTTATACGTATCTACAAGCTTGCCTTGTAACTAGAAGGTTCTTGATTCGATCCCACGCAGGCTTTAGACCAGGAAGAGGGTAAATTGATCATATCTTCACCCTTCTTCGACAGATTCTGGAACATAGGCATTCTTTTCGGCGTCCAACAATTGGAATTCGATTCTGTCGACCGACAGGTAATCTGGCGACACTTGACAGTGAAGGAAATGATGAGGAAATATATCGCACTGACCAAGGCACTCACTCTACTCGCACTCATGCAGTGAGCCAGGTGAGAGCTTACGGCGAGTTGCCATCCGAACTGGTGACAACTAGTGGTACTCGTGAGGGATGCCCTGCCCACTATCCCCATTTCTATTCAATTTCATCATAGATGTACTTATGGAATTAACCCAAACTGACTTCAGCGACTCAGAGATTGACTTCTTACCATCAGGGAATAATCTCGTTCACTTGAAATATGCAGGCGATATAGTCATCCCTCCAAGGTGAAGACGCTGAGCCATATAGGAAAGTGCAGACTTCCTGGTTGGGGTCTTCGGGTCGGTGAAAGCCAATGAAGGCTGCAGACAATTGGTGATATGGCTTAAAATAGTTCTCAATGTCTAGCGCAGATGCATCTACTCCTTGTGAATTATAATACCCAGTAAAACTATATTGTTTAACCACGTTACTATTCTTTTTGCCTCATGTCTCTGTTTACTGTCTCTATTTTGCGTTTCTTTTTGATTCCTCCTCTGGCTTTGTGTGTTAAGTGAAGTGTGGCGACTCGAACTGCTGCACATCGGTGCAAAGTTCTACGTTGAAACCAGTTAGTCAGTCAGTCGGTCCTGATGAAGTCAATCATGAATAAGCAATACTGTTGAAAAGTCCCAAACACTAGGATGAAACAACAACTGACTGTCCAGTCCTCTCTAATGGCTCCCCAACTGACATCCAATCCGTGATGAAACATGGAATAAATAAAATACCCACAACCAAAAAAAATATCTCTTCAACATTTCCCATTGTTATTGTCAACAGATATATGCGGTTAATGCTGATTTTAACTTACCAGTCTTACACACTGTATGCAGAGTTATAAAGAAACAAGATTTCCGAATAATAAAATTAAAATTAATCAAAATGATAGTAATAATAATAATTATTATTACTGTGGTGAGTGCTACTTATAATCAGATATAAGTAGCATATCAATGAACAAGTTCAGAAATGCAACAATATTTTTCCAACACTGGAAAAAAGTAATCGAAGAAGAAGAAGAGAACTGTGAGAAGAACGTTGGACACGCTGTGCAGAACCCAGCAAGCTATCGAATGTGATGATATTCGATCAATTTGCAAATGATGTGCAAATAAAGCATTGGAGGTATGGTATACCAAATTTATGCACCCACAATGAGTTTGAATAAAGCAAGAACAACAGTGGTTTGTGCAGAATAAGAAGATGGTACCATCATTGCTTATTTCGTTGGCTTCTCATCAGCTCAGCTGCTTACAGCCTAAATAAATTATGAGGTAGGTTTATGTACAGAAAAGTTTTAACATACTTGCAAATTTTTACATGGTGTCAGTTGACAAAAAGTTCCACAGTAAGTGAACAGTGCTCAGAAAATTGCGCTTATATAGTTTTTACACAGGCAGTTCAAGTTTAAACAAAATAAATGTATGCATAGATTGGTAAAGGAGTTACGTAATAAAGACGAGATGCGTAAGATGCTGAGTGACTAATAAATTGGGTAAAAATTTATTGAGTTCAACTCAAATCATAGAAACAAGAGACAAGCAAAATTACATCAAAACGAATGGCGGGGTGAGGTTAAAGCTAAAGATTATGTAATCAAATGAAAGGGAGAATAAACACATCCAATTACCAGATGGGCAAGGAAAGACTGATAACTGCTTCGTCCTGGACACATAAACCTGGTTTCAAGCGTATGAAAGAGATTTCTTCGGTAAACTCTAGGAGAATCGAGCTCCTCTGTCTATTGATAATTTTTAAGGATTTCGCGATTTCCACCTCACTACCCTTGAGACGTAGGCTTTTCGGCACATGTTCAGAAAATCGTAGATTTGCCCTTCTTTCTGTTTTCTCAATGTAACTGCTCCCGCAGATACATGTAAATTTGTATATACAGTTGGAGTTGTTAACATGAGAAGGATATCTATCGATTTTTGATTGCACCAAAGAGCATGTTGTTCAATAGACGGGAACCAAGAAAGTTGCAGGGTAGGCTTTGGCTAGTGACGTACTCAGTCTTCTGCTGACCAATGCTGCAATGTTTTCATCTTTAAAATCTAGTTGAATGAATACAGACTATTTTTCAACTGTGACTTGTGTGATATTTGAGCCTTCACATCTTCCATATTTGTTAATGAATCTTTGAGGATCACCGTTGTTTTTCAACACCTTTTGGAGAATCGTCAATTCTTCCTGCAGTTTCTCTGCGGAGCATATTCTCTTTGCTCTATAGTACATAGTCTTGACTAGTGCTCGTTTATAGCTATCTGGACAAAAACTATTAAAATGTGGGCACTGTCCGTTCCATGTCAGCCTTCCCTCCCCCTTTGACATAATGTGATTTTGCTTGTCTCTTGTTTCTATGATTTGAGTTGAACTCAATAAATTGCTCCAAATTTATTAGTCTTTATTACCTAATTCCTCTACCATTGTATGCACACATTTATTTTGTTTAAACTTGAACTGCCTGTGTAAAAACTATATGAGCGCAATGTTCTGAAAAGTGTTCAATAATCGCGGAACCTTCTGTCAACTGACATCATAGGAAAAATTTGCAAGTATGTCAAAACTTTTCTGTACATAAACCTACCTCATAATTTATTTAGGCTGTAAGCAGTTCAGCTAATGAGAAGCCAACGAAATAAGCAATGATGGTACCATCTTCTTATTCTGCACAAACCACTGTTGTTGTTCTTGCTTTATTCAAACTTTCATCAAGGGGAATAAATGCATGAAGTATAATGAGTTTGTACTAACAAACATTGCGTTCGAGACTCATGGGTCTTTTCTTCCTTACATTACTTGTATTATAAAATCAATAATACGTGACAAATGAAAATTCAATCAAATTCGGTATTTATAATTTAATAGTGGTTGTATAAGCAGTGCAATCATTGAATATCTCGTCAACCACTATGGTCATTCCATCTCAACGAACTTCTCCTCCTCCTTCAAAGTGAAAAATAACAACCTACTAAAGGCAATACGCTTTCGTCTCCTTGGTAGCATTGTTGAAGACTTAGCCATTCAGCTGGAGAAACCAAAGTTAAATAGACAAAAGAGAATCATCCAATCACTTCTTCTTCTAGTATCATGGTAACAACCGCGTTGACTTCTACTGACTACGGGGTCTGTGTGCTTGCTTTATTGGGATTTTCTTCTAACTCAGCAAGGCGTGTCTGCAACCACCTTGAAGGAACTCATATCCCGTCTGAGATTCGAACCCGCCTCAACCAGACTGCTGCAATCAGAGACGTTACAACTGAGTTAATCAAGGTCGTGATTGACCTCATGTTAGACTGTAGTGGGTATTTTGATTGGACACCAGTAACTAGTTACAATCATCCACATAGAAGCAACAATCGAAGACGTCCAGCAGATCATCGGAAACAAACGTGGACACAGCTTTATGTAGAGCGAAATTAGCACAAAACGGGGAGGACGTGGCACCAAATGGATGGACTGTCATCCTATATTCTGACACCTTACCACAAAGACCATCATCAAACCACAAGAACCTTAAGTGATCTCTGTCGCTCTCTGGCACTTTCACTAGCAGGAACATTTTCTCTATATCCCCAGCGACAGCAACTGCTAACTTTCAGAATCTTAACAGCAGTCCAACTAATGAGCTCACGCAATCTGGACTGGACCCCTATGGGGATTCTCATTCAAAGAAACTCCTTCTTGTTTCGCAGACAATCCAACACCACACGGAGTTTACCTGGCTTCCTCGCATTAAAGATGGGATGATGAGGCAAATACCACTTTCCTGGCTAGCTCTGATCAACTAGTCTTTCAACGTAACCCTTTATTACATGTTTGTCGACGACATCCTTATATTTGCTCCAGAGACCTGCATCCGTTACAAACTTCTTCCTTAAACCCATTAGCCTCTTAAGAGCAGCTTCTCTGTTACACATTAACTCAATCTTCAAATCTCCGTGGTAGGGCACCGATGAAACGCCCATTCCCGTATTTACAAAATTCCTCAACTATTTTAACTGCCTTTAAGTCTCCCACAGAACGACCACTCTCTGGGACACTGCTGTCACAAAACTCCTTGTCATACATATTTATTTCTAATCATAGTCTCCAGTTTGTCCCCATTGTTTGTAACCAGTGATGAGATGTGGACCATGGCTTTAGGTCCTCTCACCGTCTATCTCAGTGGTGTTTTCGTAGCGAACAGATCATCCCTACCTTTGTATCTCTCTTCTAATACCTTGTGAGCTTCTGGTACACTACATCCCATGAGTACTCTCACTCCGCTATCTTGCAGTGTTGGAAACGGTATGTCACACAGGTGTGTGGCTTACCGACAACTGTTTCACGACTAGGTACTATAGCTTCGCCGAGTTTCATACTGGTGGAAGTAGTGTAAGCAGTACCTACTTCAACGGTTTCTCCAGCAGTCAAGGATTCTAACTGAAATGACACTCGTTCACATATTAACGTTTTCGAAGAATTGAAAGCAATTAGGAATAAGAATTGTTTTAAGACCTTAACACCCAATCAGCCAGCCAGCTTAGCATCTATCAATGTAATGTCTGAACCATTATCTATCCAGCAACGCATATGTATCGACACATGACCTTGGTCCTCTTACTCTTACTGGCACAACACCTAAATAGACCATCTAGCGGTCGTCCGGTGGAAAACACTGCTACTACAATTAATACAGCTCCCCTGATTCTTCGATACTGTCAACAGCGGATGTAATCCCAGTGAACCACTACCACCATTCTCAGCTGTCTCACAGTTAAGCCTTGTGTGTCCGGCCTTTAAACAGCAGAAGCATAACCGTTTCCTTTTCACAACTTGTAACCTTTCTGTCAGAGACATTTGAAGGAAACGAGCACACTCACTAAGTATGTGTACGTCGCCACAGATAACACACTTTCCTGAACGTCCAATGCTTTGCGAATCCCTCATCACAAATGACTCTGTCTTACTCGCTGACCTCTCAGTTTCAGAAGCCGGATGCAATATACTGGCGAATTTACTCATAGTCTGATTAACATTATCTGTCACTAATCTCAGTATATCGTCGAACCCTGGCTCTAAACCTTCATCCTCTATACGAGAGCTTATCTTCATCCATTTCCTTTGCAGTCGAGTAAGTAGCCGTCTCGCTATCACCTCTACAACAGACCTCGAGTTCAGATCGCTCATGCAACTCATCGAAACCAACGTATTCTTGTAGGTCATCAGATTATCCAGAAACTCAGTGAGTGCCTTGGAGTCATCTCGTAACTCACTACCATCACCTTTAACAGCCTCGAATACATTCTTTACAATCATCGAAGGTCTTCCAAATCTTTGACGCAGGATACGCATTGCAACACTATATTGCACTCGCCGACCTGCCAGCACAATACCTCAACAAGTGCATCAGTTTCATTTCATCACTTAGTTTCAAACCCTCTAGCATCACTTCGATTTCTTTCACAAAGTGAGGAAAGTCAGCAGGATTCCCTTCAAACCACCTAGCCTCGAACTTCGGCGGCTTTAAGCAACTTATCTCTCTGGCTGGTACATCATGATTATCCATTATAACATCAGACATAACATTACACACAAATCATCAAGACTTACTTTGTCGTCTGCCTCCGAAACGCTTCGTCCTTTCTTTGGCCCAGGCATTATTGAACGTTACCAAACGATCCAGAAAAGTTTCAAGTAACACTCGTCCAAAGAAAACTTGCAGACACGAGGAAAAACAAATTGCCAACAAATACAGCGAATAATTCAAAGAGCTATGAGATAGCAGTTTCTGATAGCCCCTTGAATTATTCGCTGTATTTGTTGGCAATTTGTTTTTCCTCGTGTCTGCAAGTTTTCTTTGGACGAGTGTTACTTGAAACTTTTCTGGATCGTTTGGTAACGTTCAATAATGCCTGGGCCAAAGAAAGGACGAAGCGTTTCGGAGGCAGACGACAAAGTAAGTCTTGATGATTTGTGTGTAATGTTATGTCTGATGTTATAATGGATAATCATGATGTACCAGCCAGAGAGATAAGTTGCTTAAAGCCGCCGAAGTTCGAGGCTAGGTGGTTTGAAGGGAATCCTGCTGACTTTCCTCACTTTGTGAAAGAAATCGAAGTGATGCTAGAGGGTTTGAAACTAAGTGATGAAATGAAACTGATGCACTTGTTGAGGTATTGTGCTGGTAGTGTGGCGAGTGCAATACTTTGTTGCAAGTTTCTGCCACCTAGGGATGGATATACGGAGGCTATGCGTATCCTGCGTCAAAGGTTTGGAAGACCTTCGATGACTGTAAGGAATGTATTCGAGGCTGTTAAAGGTGATGGTAGTGAGTTACGAGATGACTCCAAGGCACTCACTGAGTTTCTGGATAATCTGATGACCTACAAGATGATGAATTGCATGAGCGATCTGAACTCGAGTTCTATCCTAGAGGTGATAGCGAGACGCCTACCTACTCAACTGCAAAGGAAATGGATGAAGATAAGCTCTCGTATAGAGGATGAGGGTTTAGAGCCAGGGTTCGACGATATACTGAGATTAGTGACAGATAATGTTAATCAGACTATGAGTAAATTCGCCAGTATATTGCATCCGGCTTCTGAAACTGAGAGGTCAGCGAGTAAGACAAAGTCATTTGTGATGAGAGGTTCACAAAGCATTGGACGTTCAGTAAACTGAGTTATCTGTGGCGACGTACACATACTTAGTGAGTGTACTCGTTTCCTTCAAATGTCTCTGACAGAAAGGCTACAAATTGTGGAAAGGAAACGGTTATGCTTCTGCTGTTTAAAGGCCGGGCACACAAGACGTAACTGAGACAGTTGGGAATGGTGGTAGTGGTTCATTGGGATTACATCCGCTGTTGACAGTATCGAAGAATCAGGGGAGCTGTATTAATTGTAGTAGCAGTGTTTTGCACCGGACGACCGCTAGATGGTCTATTTAGGTGTTGTGCCAGTAAGAGTAAGGGGACCAAGGTCATGTGTCGATACATGTGCGTTGCGGGATAGATAATGGTTCGGACATTACATTGATAGATGCTAAGCTGGCTGGCTGGCTGATTGGGTGTTAAGGGCCCAAAACAATCCTTGGTCCTAAATACTTTCAATTCTTCGAAAACGTTAATATGTGAACGAGTGTCATTTCAGTTAGAATCCTTGACTGCTGGAGAAACCGTTGAAGTAGGTACTGCTTACACTACTTCCAGTATGAAACTCGGCGGAGCTATAGTACCTAGTCGTGAAACAGTTGTCGGTAAGCCACACACCTGTGTGACATACCGTTTCCAACACTGCAAGATAGTGGAGTGAGAATACTCATTGGATGTAGTGTACTAGCAGCTGACAAGGTATTAGAAGAGAGACACAAAGGTAGGGATGATCTGTTCGCGACGAAAACACCATTGGGATGGACAGTGAGAGTGTGGTGAGAGCTGTCTACTAGCCAAGTGGTGGACAGTAATTGAGGTCAATGTTTATGTATCAAATATTAGTCATGTTGTGGTGAGAGATGGTTGCTGGCCAAATTGGTTGACAGTAATTGAGGTCAAAGGTCAAGGTGGACAGGCGGTTACAGTTAACATATAGATGAACTGATACAGCCACAAGAGATGCAAGGTTAACTTTGTGTGAGAAACAACCAATCAACAGACTATATTTTCTACTAACATTGACCTACAATAATGTACATAAAAATCTATAAATACGTGTTGATTTTTCGTAATAAACGATCTGTTGCCTGGCCCTTGTCTTCTGTTGTTACAAGAGGACCTATACCCATGGTCCACATCTCATCATTGCTTACAAACAATGGGGACAAACTGGAGACTATGATTAGAAAAATGTATGACAAGGAGTTTTGTGACAGCAGTGTCCCAGAGAAGTGTCATTCTGTGGAAGACTCAAAGGCAGTTAAAATAGTTGAGGAATTTTGTAAATACGAAAATAGGCGTTTCAGCGCTGGCCCACCATGGAGATTTAAAGATAGACAGTCGGTTTGTAACAGAGAAGCTGCTCTTAGGAGACTAATGGGTTTAAAGAAGAAGTTTGTAACGGATGCAGGTCTCTGGACGAAATATAAGGATGTCGTCGACAAACATGAAATGAAGGGTTACGTTGGAAGCCTGGTTGATCAGAGCGAGCCAGGAAAGTGGTATATGCGTGATCATCTCGTCTTAAATCCGAGGAAGTCAGGTAAACTCCGTGGGTCTCGAACAGCCTAGACGTTTTAAAGCATGTAGTTCCAGAAGACAGAGCACCAACTGTACGAGATTTACCTGTTGGCACTCTACCAGTTGAACGCACATAAGGAGGTATGCGATGGATGGGATGTGAACTCCGATAACTTTGGATTTAGTTTTGATAAGCCAGTCACTCAGAGAGGTGTGCTCTGTGTGTTGTAGTCCGCGTTCGACCCACTTGGATTAGTAGCACCTTATCTATTTCCGGAAAGGAGGTTATGTCAAGAGACATGTAGGAAAGGGTTACAATGGGAGATGACCCATTAAGTGAGAGACAGAGTGAAGAGTGGGAAAGGTGGATTAACAATTCAAGAACGCTGGATCTACATTCCATCTCACGTCCATTTAATTATTATTATTATTGTTTCCTTTAATTCCTACAGGAACATAGGGCTTCAGCCAAACGTCTCCATTGCTTTTGGTTCTCTGCTAGAGTCTTCACCTGGCTCCAAGTCTGCCCACACGTTTTCATCTCCTCTTCACATGACCTCTTCCAAGTCACCCTTGCACTGACGACCAACTCGCCGCTTCCCTTTCAGGTTCCACTCGAGCAATGGCTTGTCTAGTGATGTCACTCACTTGATGGTTTCCTCAGAGTATGGCCACTTAAGCCATCAAGAAATCATGATATAATTGGCAAGTATTAAATTATCCTCAGAGTTCAGAGACTTACTTTCAACAGGCTGTGCTGTACACCTTTATCAACACTTTCGTTGACTTCACAAGGAAGGTCAGACAGGCAGAAACTATAGCCGTCCTCCTTTAAGGCCGCTGCAGGTAGTGAGAGATGGTCGTTGAAAGTAGAAGACTTGAAAAGTCTGGCTAAATGTCTTTTATCATAGGCGCCTTCGTTCTATCTCCCGTGTGAAGTGGTAAAACACGGTGAGTACTATTGAGATTAGGCATCGGTCGAGTGCTAGGTGAAGGGGGGAAATTCAATCGACGAGATTATGAAGTTACATCGATTGAGGAAATGGTTAGGACATGTGTTACGCATGCATTCTTAGCCATCACCCTCCTCGACTGAAAGTGTTAGATGACTTAGGATGGATCAGGTTGGAAAAGAGCTAATGGTGGTCAAAACAAAACAAGGTCTTATCAATCAATGAAATCCACAAGTTAGTTCAAGCCAGCCAGCCACGAAGGGAGGTGTAGACTTCCTGACTGGTTGGTTTTCTCGGGATGGTACGAACCAATGAAGGTTGGAGACCATTGGTGATTCGGTTCAAACCCGTTGTGCTCGGTAGTGGCTGGCAGAGAAGCATTCACTCTTTGTGATTTATAATATCCAATGAAACTCTATCGTTCTTCCACAATACCACAATACCACTCACAATTCTGTTGACCATCTTTCTTTAGAATCTCTCTTTACTACCTTCTCTTGGTTTGTGTGCTACGTGGAGAGAGTATGGCAACTGGAACTGCTGCGCATCTATGCAAAGCTCTTTGTTGAAGCTACCTAACTTAACCTATGACCAATAAAAAACTCTACCAGAAAACCTGCTAACAACCTACCTCCCAAAAGCATGAGAAATAAAATAAAAATGGATTGAGCATATGCTCTGAGAAGACCTTCAAGAGACATCACACGCCAGGCCCCCTGAGTTGAACCTGGATGAGAAACAATGAGTTGAGCATGAGTTTGACATAAAGGTCATTTGAAAAGGAAATGAAACCTTGCTGAGTAATCAATCGTGGAATCAAAGGGAACTGATAACGAGGGATGCATGGATGAATAATAATCCGGTAAAACAGGAACAACCTTACGAGTATATGCAACACCAGAGAGATATGGGAGCATAAATGGGAGGAACCTGAAAGAAAAAACGTCCTTTACCTACCTGGGAAGCATCGTTTCAACTACAGCTGGACGGAACTGACGAGGATATCAAAGCAAGGATAGGGGAAGCAAGGCAAGTTTTCATTACTCACAAGTCTGTGTGCAGGTCAACAGCACTCAGCATCAAAATGAAAATAAGATCCGGATTTTCAACTCAAATGTGAATTCAGTGCTACTATACGAATCAGAGACATGGCGTGTCATAAAGAGCACCTCAAACAAACTACGGACCTTCATCAACAGCTGTCTTCGGTTTGTACTGTTCAAGATCAGCAATAGAGATCTCTGGTAATGAGCGAACCGACCCAGCAGGAACCGATTGTGCAACAAATAATCTGGAAGAAATGCAGTTGGACTGGCCATACTCTGAGGAAACCATCAAGTGAGTGACATCACTAGACAAGCCATTGCTCGAGTGGAACCCGAAAGGGAAGCGGTGAGTCGGTCGTCTGTGCAAGGGTGACTTGGAGGAGGTCATGTGAAGAGGAGATGAAAGCGTGTGGGCAGACTTGGAGCCAGATGAAGACTGTAGCAGAGAAGCGAACGCAATGGAGACGCGCAGCTGAAGCCCTATGTTCCTCTAGGAATTAAAGGAAATAATAATGATAATAATATTATTATAATAATAATAGAGAGATATGAGCCCCACCAAAATTTTAGAAGCTCAGCTGTTCAGGTTATACAATGTTGAATAGAACTCTAAACGACAAATATCCTGTTTAAAAATCAATTATCTACATTCATAATACACACATTCTAGTATCACGTAATCGAAGAGTAACATGAACAACAACAGAAAAAGGGGAAGTATTGATTGATAAATAAAAAATAAAAATTCCACTTACTTAACAAGACGTCTAACGATTCATTTTGTCCAATAGGTGATATATTAATATTCTGTGGAAAGTTGACTAATTCAACATCTTTGAAAATATGCGGTAAGAGTGTGGCGAATATACGACAAAATAGGCTAATAAACTGTCGTTTCTCTTCCAGCTTTGACGCGTTAAACACCCATGTCTAGAAATAATAAAAAGAGAATAAAATAAAATTTATTTTGAAGAAGAAAAAAAGGTGCTTCTTCAAAAAGTATATCGATGTGTTTAAAGATGGGAAGAGAAAGCAGGCACAAGCACATCTCATCGAACAGGGAATAGAGAGACAGTCAATTTTGTACCTTAGCTTCATTGATTTGATGAAAAGGCCTTCGACAGCGTCGACTGTGAAGTGATTTGGAAACTGCTCTAACACTACGGAAATGCCGCAATTGACTGACTCCTGACCGATAGCTGAAACCTTGATGTGGTGGTCAGGCTTGTACATCGCAATGACCTAACAAGCTACACTGGCTGGAACTAGTGTTCCTGCAGGTCCTACCATGTCACGAAGGTTGTTAGGATAGCGATCAGACTAAAAGCAATTAGCGGTTTAGTGTAAGAATTTTTCTTTTTCACACTATGCTGAGGGTCTGTAGGCGAAGTTGTACTGCTGGGGAACACGGATGTAACAGCCACAGTAAGGTGTTTCCCTCAGACGACCAGCATGCCAGCCAACTATGCTGCCTCTCCACTCGGGTGAGAGCGGATTAGAAAAGATCGACCCCAACAATTGTACATCCCGACTTACTCTACGGTGGTCTGTAACTGGTGGTAAGTTTACTAATACGGAACAAATCCGAGAAACCAGGCCGTGTGTGACCGGCCGGCCTCAAACAGTTGTCCCCGGGGCTCTGTGTTCACACAACACTAACGCTTTTTCTGTTTCAGGTACCCGAAGAATCAATCAATTTCCACGGTGTGGGCAGCCGGGAATTAACAACCGCCTACACACTTCCAGCAGCACACGAAGCCTTCCTGAACATCATTCTCCAATGGTAAGGAACAATTTGTGTCTTATATCATATAAACTCGCAGATATACAGGAGAAAACCAACAAGTTGGAAGCAGAAGCAGCGATGAGAGAGAGCTTCAAATAAACACAGAGAAGACAGAGGTGATGAAGACACCCGACAATGAACATCAACAAGCACCGACTACCACGAATGGAAGAAATCTGAAGGAGGTTACTTCCTACACTTATCTAGGCAGCATCGTTTCAACTAGTAGGGATCAATGAGGATGTCAAAGGAAGCATCAGAACCTCTTTATTCTAAAAAAACAGTGTAGGAATCTACCGCGATCAGCATAAAGAAAAAGATTCAGATCAAAGACTTGAGCCAAAATCATTTCCAACAGGCTTATGCAAATTTTCATCGACAGCTGTTTTCAGTCCATATTAAAGATCAGATGACCTACAGAAAAGGGTAAGCAACAAAGAATTCTGGGGACGAACCACCCAGGAACTTACTGTACAACAAATATGCAGAAGGAAGTGGGGATACACACTAAGAAGACTGTTTAGTGCTATCAAGCAGCAAGCTCTAGAGTGGAACGCGAATAGGAAACGACGAGTTGGGCGTCAAACAGTGAAATAGAGGGAATCGTGTGAAGAGGAAATAAAAGCTCATGGGAAATTGTGGCGATAACTAGAAAGGACTGAAGAGAACAGGATAAGATGGAAGCGTACTGTTAAAGTCCTATATTTCACCCGTAACCGAAGGAAATAACAACAGAAATACTACAACACCTGGTGACTACTGAGTTACAACAAGCACAACAAATTAACGCTAGGTAAATGAGTATTAAGACTGGCACCTAAAGTATGGAAATAAACAAACTTCATTAGGCACCTTACTAAATGATGTGGTTCATTTAGTAACTGACTGATTAGTTTCAACGTGGAACTTTGCAGAGATGTGCAGCAGTTCGAGTTGCCACACTCCCTCCATGCAGCACACAAAACAAGCGAAGAGTTCACGATAATTGACAGAAATATGGGGCAAAAAGAATAGTAATACGGAAGAACAATAGAATTTTATTGCACCATTGATAAAGACTTTGAGCCATATCACCAAATGTCTCCAGCCTTCATTGGTTCTTACCGTCCCGAGGAAGCCAACCAGTCTGGAAGTCTACACCTCCCTACGTGGCTGGCTGGCTTTAAATAACTGTTGTGGATTTCATTGATTGATGAGGCCACGTTTTGGTTTGACCACCACTAGCACTTTTCCAACCTGATCCATCCTAAGTCATCTAACACTTTCAGTCGAGGAAGGTGGTTGCTAAGAATGCATGCGTAACACATGTCCTAACCATTTCCTCAATCGATGTAACTTCATAACCTCGTCGATTGATTTTCTCCCTTCACCTAGCACTCGACCGATGCCTAACCTCAATATTACTCACTCTATTATCCCACCTAACACATGGGAGATAGAACGCAGACACACATATAATCAAAGACAGCTAGTACAAGCAATCCAACCTTCATCGAAAGGGTTCTGACTAGGAAGCTAGAACACAACTACTTAGAACAGAGTTCTCATAGACTGACCAAGTTTCAACACAGAAAGGCAGCACTTCAAGTTGCTAGACTCCATGTCGGGCACAAAGGTAGACAAAAGAAGATTCAAAAGAATTACAATAAGCACAAATGTACGGGATAAAGAATAGTAGTATGGAACAAACATAATGAAATCAGCTAAACTTATTATGTGAGGCCGACGTGACGTACTACTCAGCTGCCCAAGCTGGGATAGGTGGAGCTTTAATCAAACACTAGACCAAATGGCTGAAAGTGGAGTGATTCACTTAATGAGTCAAGAGACTTCACAACAAGAGTCCTGGAGAAGCCTGGTAACAAACTTAGTCTGTTGCAGAAATACTGGAGACAGCTGGTGTTAACCTGCAGTCAAACGATAGTGAGAAGCTCGATTTTCGGAAGATGACTGATCTCACAGTAGGCTGGAAAGATGACAAACATGAAGACGAGCTTTGCTTTAAAGCCGTCGCAACTACCATGAACATCAATGCATAATGAAAGATAGAGAAATACACAAGGCACTTTTTTGATTCCTTTACGTTCCCAGTGGAACATAGGGCGCCTTCAAGCTAGATGCTTGAGGTTTCTGTAGCAGTGATGATTACTTTTACAGGATGGGGTTGCTAGCCTCATGACTAACCTTCCCTCTCTACCAGTCTTACTACCGGCTTAGTGGGGTGAAGGAGTGCGCCGCCCGGGAATCGAATCCCGAACCACCTGCGTGGTTGGCGAGCACTCTACCGCCGTGACACCAACGCACCAGACAAGTGACTACTACTAGATAATGCCTACCAACTGAATAAGCTTGTTAAGTAAGCAAGTTTTGCAAAGGCTGTGGTAGGTAAAACGAACACCAAGAAGAATGAAAATTCGATAACTCTTCAGGAGAACCGAATGGAATGTTGGGTAAAACAGCTAAGGGAAGTAGTTCAACTGACCCACAACTGTTTTTCCATATTATTCAAAACTCGAACTTAGTATAATGTAGGCACACAGATATGTACCAATCTCACATGAGTATCAGGGTTCGATCGCCGGTCGACGTGCTCTCCAACCATCGCTTAACACCTCATAAACCCGGCAAAAAGGTTGGGTGTAAGGCTAGTAACTCTACCCAGTAAAAAATAAACCCACTGCTGGGTGAAACTTCAAAACTAGAACTTGGAATGCAAAAGAATTATTATTATTATTGTATGAGTGCTAGAATACTGCCAGGAAACACACCGAAGCAGATAGATGCCTTGAAGAACCACTTCTTGAGCATTTGACATGAATTCTGACCCAAAAAACAATACAGTGACGTCAGGAAAGGCGTTTCAAATGTTGCCAGTGGTCAAAACCGGTTTATACGCTATTCTTTTACTCCGAATTTTAGAGCATAAGCGCGGTGTAAGTTTAAAATTGGAGTTCTTCAACTCACTTAGGTGGGCTCTCTTTGACTATTTCGGCCTCTTGCGTATCTCTTGGAAGGTCAGCCATATGGAAATAGTGACTTCCATAAGAAATATCTATTGTGAATGGACAAATTAAACTTCCTAGACTAACACCACTAAACAAAGACACCTCGCCAAATCATGTAACATTAATCCTAACACGGTAGTAGTGGGAATCGAGTATACTGACTTCTTAAGGAGAGGTAGTCCATAAAAAATTTTTACCATAAACATTCCGATTGAAGGAGTAACCCATGAATCAAAAGATACAATTGACATTGAAGGCGGGTAGGTGCGTCGAATATTGAGGTGACTTAAAACCCAGTTGACAAATCTGCAAGTTAGCCTGAAACTATTTGGGTCTCTTGAATGTTATTCTGTGAGTCTCGTAAGACCATACGGTCTACAGTCTTAAAAGCTATAATCAAAACGGGCACTACACCTTAATACATGTCAATATATCAAAGCAAGAATCGGAAAAGCATGACAAGCTTTCAATACTCTCAAGTCTGTGTGGAGGTCAACAGCACTCAGCATCAAAAATAACATCCGGATTTTCAACTCCAACGTGACGTCAGTGCTACTATACGGATCAGAGACTTGCATTGTGCGTCACGAAGTGCACCTCAAACAAACTACAGACCTTCATTAACAGTTGTCTTCGCTCAATACTTCACTCAAAATCACATGGCTGGCCAGAAAAGATCAGCAAGAGGAAGGGATCTCTGGGAGCGAACCAACCAGGAACCGATTGTGCAACAAATATGCAGAAGGAAATGGAGATGGATTAGCTGGACATACTCTGAAAAAACCATCAAGTGACATCACTAGACAAGCCATCGCTCGAGTAGAACCCAAAAGGGAAGCGGCGAGTTGGTCGTCAGTGCAAGGGTGACTTGGAGGAGGTCATGTGAAGAGATGAAAACGTGTGGGTAGACTTGGAGCCAGGTGAAAACTCTAGCAGAGAACCGAACGCAATGGAGACGTTTGGCTGAAGCCCTACGTTCCTCTGGGAATGAAAGGAAACAATAATAATAATAATGTGCATGAATACTACACTGGAACCAGTGATCTATTCACATAAGGCTGTTGTCTGTTTCACTTGATGACAACTTCATAGATCGCTGCACTAATCATTTATGCATAATAAAATATTGGTATGAAGTAGTTTCAACCTAGAAAAAGAGGTGCCCACAACATAAGCAAAACACTTCATATACCATCGAAAACATATTTCCTCTTCTAACACTTACTACATCTACACGCACATCCATCTGTGGGTCAGTTTCAGGTTATTTAAACGGATCTTGGTAATTGCTGCTACCGCCCAACTTAGCTTCTTAATGAACATGTTTTTACCAGTCAAACAATTTGAATAGTCTACTAGCCATACAAAACTATAAAATGAGATCAGCATTAAAATAGGAACTCAACATTGGAACAACAATGATGATAAGCATTCAGATAGATGCATACGGCCAGCGATTATTTGGAAGCATTGTGGTCCAATGATTCGTGCTATAATGGTTAGCAAATACTCAAACTTCAGATGCTACGAATCCCATTAAACAAGCGATTAGACGAGGGTATGTTCCAAGTACTCTATGCAATATATGTCAGGCCTCATCTAGAGTACTGCATACAAGCGGCGAGTGGATGCTTCAAGAAGGAGGCACATACCCTGGAAAGAGTACAGAGGGTAGGAACCAAATTAGTTAGTGGTATCTCACACCTTCCTTATGATAAGAGGATGGAGCATTTAAATCTTTTCCCATTATCATACCGAAGGAGGAGAGGCGATTTGATTTTGGCTTACCGTATATTCGAGGGTGATTTAGGGATTGACCTTTCAAACCTTTTCTCTCCCTGTAGGATACATTAACGGGGTCACCAGAAGAAGGTGCTCAAACCGAGGTCGAATAAAATACGTTTGGAGTTTAGATTCTCTCACAGAGTGGTCAACGACTGGAACTCCTTACCTGATTCAGTAGTAACAGCTCCATCGGTGAACGCTTTCAAACAGAAAGTGGATCTCTGCAGACATATATATCGCGAGGATTAGCATAGGCAACAAGAGCCTTCTATCCTTATAACCTGAATCTGAAAAGCGTGCTCAGAAGTGTGACATGAAAATGCATATATAAACAATATACTGCCTACTCATCCACTGAAGTACTTAGGAGGCATATACCTTGTTCGCTTCATACATGCACGTTAATAATGGAAATAACATGTTAGCTAACAAAATCAACTAACTTTATTTTCTGTAATGATTTGCAACTCATAACTAGGTTGTGTCTTTGTATCCCTGCAGTCAATTTTCTTTATGTTCTTAACATTGCAAAGTAATACTTTTTTGATTTCATTTTTTTCAGTAACTTTAATCAAATATACTTGAATACTAGTTGGTTTTGTTAATGAAACTAAATCATATTAGTAATACGCCACATAATATACTTGTAAAGGCTATATGCTTCTGTTTATGCCTGCTTTGGTGGCCAGATACAACTCTCATAGACGCTCCAACACGTTCATCTATCGGATAAAATGTTTTTGAGAGCTGTGTAGACAAATTTTCAGTCATTATTTATCATCTAGACTGTTTTGGCGCCAAAAGTATGCAAATCAAATTGCCTCGTAATTTTATAATTATTACAAACAAGCTTTTATTTTGAGTGTTAAAAAATTGATATTTTTCGAAGCATATTAAAATTTTTACTTTAAAAAATTAAAAATTAATGTATATTTTGTATAATATGTAGCGCAGTCTTCTTTATACAAAAACTTAAATCTGATTGGCTGATTGCGTCTTTGACCTGCCTATGTTAGATTGATTGCAACGGTCTGCTTTAGCCATTGCTATCTTGTTTCCGTATACAGCCTTCCCTATCTGCTTTACTATAGAGGCTTGTATTAACTGACTATCCGATAGAGATTTGCTTACGCCTAGCCATCCTTTGTATTGTATTGACGGGTAAGTCTGCGCCTTTATGTTAACAGTAGCTACAAGCCACTATATTTATGCACTATATTATGCAATGCACTATTTAATACTGAAGTGTTATCTTCCTTTACAGACTCACTTAAAATTATAAGCCATGAATAAAATGGTTAAGGATAAGAATAAGCCTAAAGGTCCTATGTCAGCGTATGCTTGCTTTGTTCAAGTCATCCGAGAAGAACACAAAAAGAAGCATCCTGGTGAACAGATTGTATTTCGTGATTTTTCAAAGAAATGTGCAGAACGCTGGAATGTAAGTCTATCTGTTTCATAGTGTTTCTAATGATTAAAATAAAAACTTTAGCTTATGACACCAAAAGAGAAAAAACGCTTTGAAGATTTAGCTGCTATGGATAGAGAAAGATTTAATCGAGAAATGAATGATTATATCCCACCAGATGGTATGAAAAAAGGCAAGAAGAGGAAAGGTCCAAAAGATCCATCAGTTCCTACACGAGCTTGGTCTGCTTTCTTTTTCTTCTGTGATGAATTCCGTTCAAAAGTCAGAGAGAGTAATCCTGATTGGAAGGTTGCTGATGTCGCTAAAGAACTTGGTCGTCAATGGGAAAGTTGTCAAGATAAAGCTAAATATGAACTTCTAGCACAGAAAGATAAACAACGTTACGAAGAGGTAGGTTAAATCATCTGCTCTTTTGGTTCAACACCACATACACTTTCTTTCCTTTAGGATATGATAAAATATCGAGCAGGGACATATGTACCAAAAAAGAGGGTTGCAGGATCAGTTTCAAACTCCACGTCAGTTGGTGCTTCGGAATCTCAGAATCCAGATTGTAGTACAGTGACAAGTGGGGGTGGTGGTGGTGGTGCCGGTGATGAGAATGGTGCAGAACTTGAAGATGAAGAGGACGGAGAGGCTGATGAAGGAGAAGAAGAGTGAACAGTTTTAGACAAACAGTGAACAACAGAATAGTTGACTTTGTGTTTTGTTTGTTTTTTCTTTCTTTCTTTGTTGAGTTCTTGACATATTGTTTTGATAACTCAGTTGTACAGGTTTTATTGCATTTAAAAATGTTCTAACTCCCCGAAGCGACAACAACAACAATACCAACCACTTCGATGAGACCCATAACAACAACGTTTCAGTTCCTTCCTATACTTTGTATACATTCGATTTGTTTTTTTTTGTTTTTCTCTTGTTATTATTACTATTTTTGTGTCATATATATATGTAAACACACTGATTGAATGTACATCAACAAACAGTTGTGTTCTGGATTTCTCTCGTATTATGTAATGTGAGATTCTAATATCTAATTCTTATATCTATTATGGTTACTATTATTACTACTACTACCAGTGTTATTGTTCATTTCTTGATTGTTAAGTTATATTGTAAGTTTGAAAATGTTACTGTTACTAAACAGGTTGTTTTTCCTTCTGCTTTTGGTCGTGCGTGTCATAGTAAGCTGAAATGATGATGTTTGCTGAGTATGTTATGCATCCAGTGCTTTTTGGCTGCGTAGTTGGGTGGTACTTGCACATCTCTGCTGTTTCTCAATACTTGTGAGAGACCCATCGATGTCGCTCTGAAGATTGTATTAGCTTAGGTCCATTCTGTTCGTCCCACTGTTAGCTGACATAAGAAGAATCAGGTTGGAAAAGAGTTAGCCAGTGGTGGTCAAACCAAAACATGGCTTTATCAGTCAATGAAATCCATAACAGTTAGTTTAAGCCACGTAGGAAGATGTAGACTTCCTGATTGTGGTCCTCGGGACGGTAAACACCAATGGCTGGAGATAGTTGGTGATATGGCTCAATGACGTAGGTACATCCATTCCTTGTGACTTATAGTACCCAGTAAAGCTATACTGTTCTTCGTTATTACTTTTTTTTTTGCTTCGTATCTCTGTTTACTCTCACTACTTTGCATTTCCTCTTGCTTTGTGTGCTGAGTGAAGTATGGCGACTTGAACTGCTGTACATCGGTGTAAAGTTCTATGTTGAAACCAGTCAGTTCCGCTTATCTGATGTACTGCTTCCTATCTTTCTTCGAAAGGCACATGTAGTTGGTGACTACCTATCAGTTACATCGATTGAGATGGTTAGCACATGTGTTACGCATGCATTCCTAGCCAGCGATCGCCTTCCTCGTCTGAAAACGTTAGCTGACTTAGGAGGGATCAGGTTGGTGGTGGTCGAACCAAATCATGGCTCTATCAGTCAATGAAATCCATAACAGTTAGTTCAAGACAGCCATCCAGCAGTGTAGGGAGCTGTAGACTTCCCGGTTGGGGCCCTTGGGATTCTAAGAACCAACGGTTGGAGACAATTGGTGGATATGGCTACAAGTCTGAGCACCGTAGACTCAATCACTCTTTCTGATTTTTCATATATCACAAGACTTCATTGTTCTCCCAGATTACTATTGATTTTCCCTCATTCACACAGTGTGGCAACTGGAACTACTGCACATCTGTGCAAAGTTCTACGTTGAAGCCAGTCAGTCAGACGTATCAGTTACTTGGGATAGGCTTGTACATTGTTGAGCATTTCTCCAACATCCCTATGGTATCTTTATGTATGGTCTCTCGAAGTTCATACCATTTTGAGCTGTTGCCATTCTATCTCCCAGCATAGTTTGGTCGTTCTGATGTCTAGTCCTACTAAATCTACAGTTCTAGTGAGAAATGGTGTGTTGCTTCAGAAAACTGAGAAATTCAGATGAGATAAGGATAGTAGGCTCTTGTGACCTGTGTTAATCCTTGCAAAATATATCTCTGTAGAGATCTAACTTCTCTTTGAAAGCCTTCATCGATGGAGCTGATACTACTGAATCAGGTAAAGAGTTCCAGTCATTGACAACTCTGTGAGAGAATCTGAATTCTGCACGTATTTCAAGTCACCTGTCTTCCTTCCGTATGAAAACAGGAAGAGATTTAAATGCTACATCCTTTTGTCATAAGGAAGGTGCGAGATACCACTAACTAATTTGGTTCCTACCCATTGTACTCTTTCTAAGATATGTCCCTCCTTCTTGAAGCATGGACTAGCCGCTTGTATGGAGTATTCTAGATGAGGCCTGACATATGTTGCGTAGAGTACTTTGAACATAGACTCATCTAATCGTTTGAAAGGCCAGACTCTAGAAATGTCTTTCTTGCCAAACTATACCTTGTGGTGTCTATGCACATAAGCTGATTTTGTGGTGTTAACTTTTATTCTGCATGCCTAAATTGAATAACTGTGATAGCATTTGAAGTTCAAGAGTCCTCAGTACTTCTACTGGAAAGATAAAAACCGGCCGGTTAGGAACTTCTGGATGGGACCATCAGAAGTAACTCTATATGAATTCCTTTGCACTACAAAAGCTGGATGTCCCAGAACACCTCTGACTCATGGACGCATGACTAGAGTTTTGTTTCTAAAATTATGAATACACAATGCCACCGAGTATGTCTAAGAATTTGATGCTTATATCCACCTGACTCAAAGAAGTAGCTCATTGTCTGAATCACACCGCCTACAGCCAATTTGTTCACCCGTTTCTAGTTCAGTCTGGATGACACCATCAGCTTTCGCCTAATATGTGTAGTTCATAGACTGACAGGCGAAAATCCTAGTCCAGATAGCTGAGTTCAGACGATAGCTGAAAACATCATTAAGAGAGATTCTAGGCTTTGTGCGATGTCGAATTCTGTGATGAATCACACATCTCCATACATAAAATAAGGCTAAAGACGTGTCATCTAGAAACGAAGCGAAGTTACTCCATAGCCATAGGGGTGAACAGGCAAGCTTGTAGCTCAGTCGTTAATTCACTCGACTTTCAGCAACACTGGGTTGTAGCTTGAACTAAACTCTCTCCGTCTACCGTGTCTTGGCAAGCTAAGCATGTAGTATCATTATCCCTCATATACGCACAAACTTGGTGGTGTGAGGCTTGTCGGTGACTAACTCCATTGGAATGTGAAGCTAGTTGTGTTAGTAACGCTTATATGCCAGCTAGAAACAGATGTAGAATAACTTCGATACTTGACTCACTTAAATTTCTCCTTGAATGATGGACTGACATTGTACAGGTTTTATCGCCAACTATCCTCGACAGGTACTTTTCACGCCAAACACGTCGTTTTCCTTCAGCTAAACATTCCACAAAGAGTATTTGTCACACCTAAGTAGCATTTCAACTCTGCTGTCAACAATCATCCAGTTAAGTCTAAAGTTTTGTATTATTTGATACAAAGATTCTATGGTTATCCTATCGAATATCCGCCTCCCAGTGCATGATTCGATATGGGTGAGTAGCACTCAGATTTCTCATGATGTATCAGGCTATAGATGGGGCTTATTGAATGAGGTTTATTGATATATGTGTAAAACTTGGGCACTGTGGTGGTAGTAAGTAATTCCATATTAGTTTGTTTATTAGATGTATCACACAGTGAAACAGTATTAGTATTTACTGGATGACGTTTCGAACAAAATTTATTGTTCATAATCATATCAGTTAGAATCACACGACTTCGAAACTTGAGTTTTATAGTTATCTTTGTTCTCTCCTATTTGTCTCCTGTTTGTAGGGGTAGTAGAATTTTCCAGATATCCGAATGGACAGGTGTTGAATCATTCCTATTACACGTACTCTGTCTCAGTTGATTCGATAAACAAAGCTTCTGTTATCAATCTCTCCTTCCATTCACCCTGTTACATTAGATTTTAAAACTGTCAGCCTATCCCATCCATCCTATTGTATGGGTGTGTGTAATTGCATGTAGTGCTATAGCTGAACTATTCTCTAGATTTCTTATTTTATTCGGGTCAACCAATCTAGATTTTGCTGCTGGGTTTTTATACTTCGCTAATCTGACTGACTGCCCTGTTCTACTAGTTTGACCTATGTATTTGACCTGACAATCATTTCAGGCAGGATATTAGATAAACTAAATTGTTTTGTTTTAAAGGCTCCACAGGATTGATCCTTTAACCGACAAAGCTTGTTTCTAATTGAGTTTGAATGCCAGCCACTTTTATTCCTGCCTTGTTAAGAATTCTGCTTAAAGTTTCCGAGGTTCCTTCCTTGTATGGAATTACTACTGATGATTTAGATGCCTTATTGTTTGTGTTGTCTTGCGCATATTTGACATGCATGTCGTCATTATTATTATTATTATTTTTACATTTCCCTAGATATTTCCTGACTAATTTATCAGGGTAATTATTAAGTTTCAAAGCTTCTCTTATATGCCTCACTTCTTGTCTTAGATTTTCCTTGGTACTACCTAGTTTTATGCTCTGTCATTTAAACATTTCACCAATCCTATTTTTACTGACATAGGATGGGATGATTGGAAGTTCAAATATCTGTTTGAGTGTGTGGGTTTCCTGTAAACACTAGTGTTTACCTTCCCATCTTCTTTCCTCTTTACGTTGCAATCTAACATTGCGAGCTCCCCTTCCTGACTTTCTTATTCATAAGTGAATTGAATTGCCTCCACCTTTGAGTTAATGTGTTCGAAAAATCTATCTGTATCCTGCGTTCTAAGTACAGTGAATGTGTCATTCTACATACCTCCACCATACCTTTGGGGTGGGGCTGAAGTTTCAATCGCTATGTTTTCCCACCAATCCATGAATATATCCGCCACGACCGGGGATATTGGTGATCCCATGGAAACTCCCTCAGTTTGTTTGTATATTTTCCCTTGGAATTTAAATACTGTGGCTGCACTCCCAGCATTATGTCCTCAAGTGGCACTTTCGTCCTAACTTCGAGTTCTTGGTCAGAAATGAGTTCGTTTCTGACTGCCTCTATAGCCATATTTATTGGTATAGGTGTATATAAACTGACAATGTCAAAACTAACCATTTTCTCTTCATTATCTAATTTTAAATTATCTAATCTATGTTTTAGTTCATAATATAAGAATAAAACTTGGG